ATTCTGTGACAAATTTCAAGGGGAGTTCATCATCAGGATTAAAATTGCATGGGAACTCATGCCCGGAAACGTCATCGTACGCGGTTAGGGGCGCTTTCCTATTATGAGCTGTTTAAAAGCACACGTAGGAACTAGTCATAATAGGGAAGCGTCTCTAGCCGCGTTTAACGACATTTCCGGGTATAGGTTCCTATACATTTCAATCCTGATGATGTGCTTTAATTCCCCTACTTTGTTACAATACTCATGCGATCCCCTGCTATGTGTAACGTTTTTAAATTTGTACATTTCGACAAAAAAATAGACTGAAAGTATCATTAAAAANAAAAAAAAAAAAAAAAAAAAAAAAAAAAAAAAAAAAAAAAAAAAAACAAGAAACCGATAGCAGATTTGAAATCAGCGATACGAAAATATCTAAGATCTGTTAAAAAATGTCATTCAACAGATGAAAAAAAAAATTTTTCTTCAGTGTAATTGAAATGATCTTGATGAACTTTTAAGTTTAAAATAATTAAATCAGGTTAAAAATATTACTGTAGTCTTTTAAAAAAAGAACAGAAAATTTCTTTCTGAAAGTGCGCCCCCATCTTCGTGCCCTTGCCAACCTCTCTTCGTGCTCTGGCATAAAAAAAAAAGAACATTTTGCTCAATCTAAAAAGAGTGAAATAAAAAAAGACCGCGCATCCTGGTCGTAAGTGTGTGCCGTGCCCATTTGCGCTGCGGGGCTTACCGCAACCGGACCCCAACAATGGGAGAAAAGAAGCAGCGCTTCAACCTTTCATCATGAACTTTCGTGCATTTTAGAACACAATGCGAGATTATCGCTCTTGGCGCAAAAGGTTTCTTTTTGGCGGCGATTTGAAAGTTTAACGTTTTTGTGTTGTTTTCCTCTAACCCTTTGATGCTGAATTTTTATTAAACATATTTTTCATACCTTTTTTTTTTTTTTACATTCTTTTGAATTAATTTAAGTCAAAATTAGTGAAAAATATTACATTTAGCATTTTTATAATTTGTGGTTATGAAATATAGCATGAAACACGGCTCACTTCCAAACAAAAAAATTTTTTTTTTCAAATTTGCACTTATTTTGATCTAAAAGAAATAGTTAATTTATAATTTAAATTCTTAAATTTACAAAATCTCTTATTTATAAATTTTTGAACATGAATAAAAAGAAAAAATTTTCAAACTACTTTTTTTGAATTTCATATTTTAGTACGAATATAATTCCGATAATCTTTAAAAAAAATTTTTTTTAGTAACTATTAGACTGTCTTTTAGAATTAAATTTTGAAAAATATGTTTTTGTTTGTAATTAGAGAGTAAGAAAATTTTTTTTATAAGCGAGACACCGGTGTCAAAGGGGTGATTAATAAATATCTAAATATATTTATAAGATTTCTAAATCTCTAAAAGACAATTTTGTTAAAGAAGTTGCATGCGAATTCTTCAATGATGTATCGAATATCATAATTACGTATTTGATTGAAACTATTTTATCGTTAAGTTGAATTACATTTTTTATTTATTCATTAATACTTTTACTTATCATTTATTTAATAGTGAATTTGTATAATTTGCTTCCTGGAATATATATATATTTTTTAACAATTTCTTTACTTGAATTTTTTGCAAACGACCGTAGGTTGTTAGAGCCGTAACTAATTCATGCAGAAAATGTAAGATCCTGTTATGATTGAANTGACTGATAACTAAAAAACTAATCCAAATTTTTGAAAAAGAAAAAAAATACTTCTTCATTATGTCAAAACACAATTATGTGCCGAGTTTCGTGCCTGGGCGAGGGTTCTCGGGCGATATATTGTGATTACAGACAGACACACAGACGCGTTTATTATATGTATATAGATATGTGGTACCTCCGGTTTTGCATTTAATCAACTTTACAGTGCATGTTTAATGCTTTTTTGACGAATTTTGCATCCCCTCAAACATTAATTAGGTGGCCGTTGTCATCCAGTCAACTAAATCAATTCCTGGCGTGCATAAACGAATGGGTGGGAAATTTCTTGTGTAGGGGCGGGGAACGTGTGGGATTGTTGTGTGGGAGTGAATGTTGCCTAGTCTTTATATATATTCATTCCCTTATGATTGATTTCATTAATTTTATCCATTAATATAATTGAAATGAGATGAAAATTGTCTTAAAATGCAATTTTCTCACCCTTCAAAAAAAAAAAAAAAAAAAAAAATTCTGAAAACTGAATAGTTACATAAAGTAAAATGATAAAGTGTAGTCATTATTCGGAAATTTTTATTTCTTATTGTATTTTATTGTATTGTAAAATAACGCAACGAGTGGAGGCCTCATTTCAGGATTTTGAATTACTAGCCTATCAAAACCGTTGGTTTAAGTTGTTAAAAAAATCATCCTGAATAACATTTTATTTAATAAATCGGTTATTCAAATAGTCCGAAACAATCTTAAGGTTTGGGCTGAAATACGTAATATATATGCTGATAATTTGTGCTAATTATTAATTAAGTTCAAAATTAGCCGCACAAATATATTTTCTCTAAGTAAACATATCTACATCATCTTTTATATCGAGAAGTAAATAATTTTTTAAATTATATTTTATGACCTGCGTTGAACAGCCGACCCAATTCTGAGTGTACGGCTATCACTGTTCAACTCCGTAGCCTTGTAATTTTGAACCCGATCCAGAAGACAAGGGAACTTCTGGATCAAGTATTTGGGCGAAATATCCCTTCTTGGAGGACTTTTTGAAGGAGCTAACCCGCATTTGCTTTACATGGAGAGGAAATCTATGAAAACCTTCCACGGTTAGCCTGACGACAAGGGGACTCTAACCCATGATCCGTCTACCACTGAGTACCACTGAGGATATTTTACGTCAGCACTGTGGTTGGTGCAAGTCAAATGCGGAATTCGTATCGACATGCCATCGCTGGGATTCGAACCCGTCGGCTGGAAGGCCCGTCGTCATCGAATGGAAGGCGAAGGCTCTATCCCCTGAGCCATTACGGCTCATTTTAGAACTATTTTAAACAATAAACATGAAGGGTCTAGCTTTCAATCTCTCTTTTGATTGAACTGTTAAAGCTACAATTCTCAGATTGCAGCTGTCGCTTATAGTTTGAAGGTTAAGAATCTTAATCTGTTGGGTGTTAATTAATGAAAAAGAAGAAAGTACGTTTTCGTGTTTTATTTCGTAACTTAATTAACCATTTGCGGTCATATTAATTTTTCTTAGATGAACATAATATGCAGATTAATTAAGGGAAAAATAACTCATTTTATGAAAGAATAACGCTATTACATTTAAACAAAATTTGTAAAATATTATTTTGAATTTTTTTTAACACAGTTAATGAACTTTTAAAACTTAATTTTGAACACAATTTGTAAAAGCCTATCGACTTATTTTTTTATAACCGTTGTTGCACAACCGACCCAATTTTTGGTTTACGATTACTAATGTTTTTAACTCCGTAGCCCTGTAATTTTGAACCCAATCCAGGAGACAACGGAACTCCTGGATCAAATATTGGGAGAAATTTGCCTTCGTGCAGGTCATTTTGATGGAACTAACCTGCATTTGCGTTACATGGAGAGGAAAACCACGAAAACCTAACGCTATTAACACCTTTGATCTATGACTATAAAACTAGTAGTTTTTTCCTGTAGTGGCTGAGAGGAGATATACGACTAGAACTGTTAAATTCAAAATATTTAACTCAACAACTGGAACTGTTAAATTCAAAATATTTAACTCAAAAGTCAACAAGGCTTGGTGGTTGGTCTGTAAAATTTTTCAACATACATACGTTATTATTTTGGAATCGGTAGTATTTTTCGTAAAACTAACAAAAAACGAAGATGCATAAAGTTTATTTCCTACTTATTATTATTTTTTCTAAATTTCTTCTGAAAAATGGAATTTTGAGTAATTATTCTTCGCCTCATCTCGATTAATTTAGGCTACTAAATATAATCGTTGATATTTGATTTAATTAATTAACAAATAGGACTTTAATATTTTTATCACCCTAAATAATAAATTAACTTCTATTACTTAAAAGCATATTGAATTAATTTTTGATAAGGGAGGATATCAGGAAAAGATTATAAGTGCCTCATATCGTGGTTGATAAAAACAAAAACTGATAAGGATCTCAAAGCTGTGATTCATTTAAGCACAATTTCAAGTACTAAAAAAAAAAAAACCTAACATACGTTTTCTGTTACCTATTTAAATGATATCGCATTAATTATTTCGTAATTACGTAATTGAAAATTCAATTGTGTTTTTATAGATTCGTTTTATGATATTTCAAAAAACAGCTAACCGTGACGCATTCCTAAATGAAAATTTATTCTATCGGCTTAGGTTCTGTATAGATTTTTTAGAAAAGAAGTAAACTTTCGGAACTATATATTGAAATTTTTACCCCTTATTGTATAATTACTGCAATATTAAAAAAAAAAGTAAATCATACTATTTATTAGCAATTATTATTTTAAAGCACTGATTTATTTCATTGGTTTTCTTTTAATTTTATTTATAATTTTCTTACAATTCTTATCATTCAGTTTCTAATTTCTCCCACCTAATTCAATAGCATTTAATCAGACGCGTTTGAATAATTTCTAAAGAAAGTTATTTTTTCACGGAGGAGAGCTTTTGATTGTCTTGGCGCGTTGGCGATACTTTGGCGCATCACAACGAAACGTCGGCAACCTGTCTAAAATTTGCTTACGTTCCTTCGGGATCGTGTGTAACCTGCAGCTTACATAGTTTTGTTTCAGGATGCAGCACTAGTTAGATCTCTATGTCCATTTTATAGAAATATAGGTTAAACAAGTTAATGTGAATCTGAATTTAGGTTTATTCTAATTTTGTGATATATTACTATCGGCGTACTATTTAGTACATGCAAAAAAAATCAAAAATCTTCAATTTTTAAAAAAAAATATAATTTATATTAAATTTAAATTTAAATTAGAGTTTGAGAGCGGTACCACATGCATCCTATGTGCTTATATATTCCGCAAATGTCTAAAGATGCTAAATAAATACTCGCACCTGAGAGAAAGACTTATTTATATTTCTTTACTGGGAAATGTGATTGGTTGTGCAAAGTGAGATTTTATCCACGAATTCAGATTCCAAATGATCGCTTTTAGGAATACTGCATCCGGAAGACAGTTCATCTTTCAAGATCCGTTTTGGTTGGATTAGAGGTCAAGTTGTGTGACAGAAAAATTTGTTTTAATATTTTTGAACATGTGCCCTGTGATGTCGGTCGATGAATTACTGTCAGTAATTTAGGTTGACAAGAACTTTTAATTTTTTTATTATGGATCTTAACCGTAGGTGATAGTTAATTCTCTTAGCCATGAGTCGGCAGGCTATTTCTACCTTGCCTACTGTTAATGAACATTCTAATTGGGTAAGTTTTTGAGCAGTTGAATATCTAATATGGTTTTTGATGGCGCTAAATTTTAACAAATGATTTAATTAATTGTTTATTATTATTATTATTTTAATACTAACTGCATCAAACTTTTATGCCATTTATTCATTATTTTTCACAATTATATATTTCTTTTAGCTAGGGAAGAAATAGCATTTTAAGTTCTTTATATTTTTGTAAATGTTATTTTATATTTGTTGTAATTTATGCTGTTTAGTTTTCTATTTGATTAAAATTATTATGGAAATTTTATATTAAATCCTAATTTAATTTGTTTCGATGTTATTTTTATTAAAATAAAGTTTCGAATTTTAACTTTAAAATGTTAGTTTCCACTATATAGAAAGTTTTTTTTTTTATGTGTTTATATGTTTTTGACTTTTTTTATTCGCATATCTAAACATTTTGTACAAAAATAATAATAATAATTTAGAGGGAATTTTTGACTATACTTGGCATATATCTATCTATACATCAAACTTACTTACTTATATTGCCTCCAAGATACGTAAAACTGTAGTGATATGTGTATATATAAACAAGATAATTTGTACTTTTTAAAATTTTTTTAGATTGTTTGTGTATTTATAAAGTACGAGTAATTTTTTAAAAATTGAAAATTAAACTTAATTTATGTGTAAATAATAATAAATATAAAAAAATGAAAATTTTAATAATTTATAAACTTTTTTTAGAAATATTTATTATTTTTTCTATTAGTAATTTTATAATAATTAAAGTATCACATAATGAAACACGCAATTTATGGATACTCCTATTTTTAAAATCAACCATCTCGATGTTACTAAATATGTAATTGCATCAAAATATGCTCATCTACATATTTTTTTCATAGAAAATTATGTTTAGTTATTACATTATAAGTAATAAACAATTATTTATGAATATTAAAGATTTATATACTTTAGTCATTATTGGTAAATACGCTGAAAACCGTGCATTTATTTTAGAAAAGTTATATCAAATAAAAATTTGTTTTACAGTCGCCAAAAAAACTAAATAAGGAATATAATTTAATATTTGACTAATTCAATAATGAATTTCCAAACTATTCCTTTATTTATAGTTAAAACGATTTTAAATGAGAATTTTTTTTATTTATTTTTATTAATGTGGGGCTATCCTACATTCAAAATCAGTACAATTTAACTGTAATTTGTACATAGTTCAAAATATATTCCTTTTTGTATTATTGATCGTTGGTGTTTGATTTATTGTGCATTTATGCAATTATTGTCTTAACTTGCATTATTTTCTAGTCTTCAAGTAACCTTTAAGTTAGTCACGTTCTTATATTTTGTACAAATGTGTTTATTTAGTTTTGAAAAAGAAAATGTGCAGAATTCCGAATAAATTAAATACGTTAATTATTTTAAATTATACTTAAATCCAGGTTTTTTTCCCCTCACTTAGTAAAATCATGAAAGGATTTTTTTAAGTAAATAATTAACTGGGAGACTCATGAAGATATTTTTTATTTCTAGATGCTTTTTAATTGTTTTTTTAATTAAGACCGAATCATTTCAACAACAATGCATTTCAGTATTGTTCCTAACAAGTACAGAGTTTTTTTGAAATCAATTTGGTAACTCTACGACTAACTGAAAAAGTATCAAAATATTTGTTTATGTTAAATCAGGGTATTATGTTATTAATAAAATACAATTCTAAATTTTAACCAAAATACCCGAAGCTGCAATATGTAAAATAAACTTCTATTGCAAAATATGAAGTTTTCTCTTTTTCTACCAAATTTTTTTTCGTTAAGGGGGTGATACTTATCACCAATATTTGTGTAAAAAAATAAATAAAGTAAAATAATATAATTATGTAAACTATTTCAACCCACTAATATAAAACATTTTTATCACAAAATATCTTTTTCTTACTTCAATACAAAAAGATTTACCGCCGTAAATTCTTTTTAGTATTGATGTGAAAAATGTTTTAGTGAATAAAGTGTTTGCACTTCTGCGCTTAACCTTTTGACGCAAAATTTTCATTAAACAAATTTTTCATACTTTTTTTCATTATTTTGTATTATTAATTTAGGTCAGAATAAGTTGAAAATATTATATTTAGCATTTTAATAATTTATGGCTGTGAAATACAGCATGAAACAGCGGTGTCTTTTTCTGCGTTAAATGTTAAATCATCCAGACACGGCTCACTTCCAAACAACAATTTTCCAAATCTCCATTTATTTGCCGTTATTTAGATCTAGGAGAAACAGTTATCTATCATTGAAATTTCTTTAATTTACCAAATTAATTACTGATAAATTTTTGAATATGAATGGAAAAAAAAATTCTAGCTAATTTTTTGGATTTTATGTTTTAGTACCAATATAATTCCGATAGTTTAATAAATTTTTATTGTAAATATTAAACTGTTTTTTATATTTAAGAAATTTCATAATGTATTTTTGCTTTTAATTAGAGCATCAGAGAAAAAAATATATTGGAACACTGTTATCCCCAGAGATGCCAAATTTCTCCCCTCAGCGGATTAATATTTTCGAGTGGTAGCTTTTAATGTATGATTCTTGGTTTAATAAATTCGATTTATAGGGTTTTTACTCACCCCTACTTCTAAATAATTCAAAGCTTAAGTCATTTCGCCAACTTTTTATTATCTTTTTAAAATATTTTGTCGCATCCGGAGCAGATCTCTGTGTCCCATCTGCGTCAAGGGATTTACCTAGTTGGATATTTTTTCATGTTGCATTTTAGGTTTTAAAGAAATCGCATTCATATAATGTCAGATATTAATAAAGATATTTTAATAATTAATATATTATGGCAAACACAAATTTATGGGTTCTTTTTTCCAAAATAAATTCTAAAAATCATAAAACTGAGTTAACAGTCTTATCTTATACAGAAACAATGCTCAGAAATGGGAGCTTAGGCACGTACAGATTTTTTTTTTTTCAGAAAAAAGGGAACTACGTATATTTATTCATTATTCTCTTAACTGCCCAAAATATCTTTACTATCATTTATGAAAGAATGAACTTTCACTAGTCCAATGTATTCACTATCAATTTCTAATTACAACCTAGATATATGATAAGGTGGGATGCAATCGCATGGCTCAAAATTAATGAATAGGTATCGCTGTTATTCTTTCTTTCCCAATGAAGTATCTCCTTACCTGTCGAGTGGGCTATCCCACAGTTTCATATTGAGGAAATTACCCTTGATGAAACATCTAAATCCGTTTTCCTACTGTTTCGTCATCACTTCATTGACGACCGTCATCTGTTGTGACGTGATTAGGTGTCGTCATTAACAACATGCAGTTGTCTGACAGAGAAACTGACAATCGTGTCGACCTTGTCCACAGCCTTCGGCCACCAATGACTGATTTGCCATTCGGTTCAATTTTTGAGGACGATTATTCTCTTCCTTGTTGGTTTTCTATGTTTTTTTTCTTTTTAAATTTTTTTTCGAGGATTTAATTTTGTTTTTCATAAATTAGTGTTGTAGATATGAGGATTAATTAATGTTTTTATAGTTTATTTTGATTTGATTTGTGATAAAATTAACGAAACGTTGAGATTTTTTTTTCTACTTTTAAAGAATGTTTTGACATTTTTGAATTACTATATTTGACTTATTATTTGTGATTTATTGAACTACCCTTAGTGGTATTTTTCAAAAATCTTAAACTTTAGTAAAATAACTTTTTTAAAACAGATTTCACAATCACAATTTATTTAATAATAAATATTAAATCGTTAAGTTGTTTATCGCTGAAATTGCAGCTTTTAACTATTTCGTTAAAAACTTGTTATGGTCCTACTCAAGTGAATAGTAGGATTTATCACGATATCTGTTACGATCCTACTCAAGTGAATATTAGGATTTATCATATTTATTACAATCCTACTAAAATGAATAGTCGGATTTATCATCATATTTATTTCAATCCTACTAAAGTGAATAGTAGGATTTATCATGATGCATATGACTTATTAATATGGACTATAATTTGATTCCGTTTGACTTTATCTGTTAAGATACTTCAGCAAATTTGTACCAAAATTTCCTATCAGACTAGTGTTATCCAATTGAATGCATGGATAAAACCGGTTTGTTATGCTGAAAACAACCAAGTTCTTATCTCACTTAGTTTCGGGTCTTAAAGGTTTAATGATTAATATACTGTATTGATATTTATTAAGGTTCGACATGAATCAAATTTTTAAAGTGTATAATAATGATGAATAATTGCTTTTGTTCACTTACTCAAATATGTGATACTCATACATTTAATTGATATTTGGGTTGTTTTGAAGTGTTTAGATTAGATATTTTAATTTACATTACGTGATATCTAAATTTGAAGGAGTAGAGAAAGATAATTCAGCCATACATAAGTATGGTTAAATACATAATCGTGCACAAGATGACAGTAATGGCAATGTATATGTATTTTCTATTTCATTGCTTTTATGATAGTTTTATGTTTTTTTTAAATGTTCATTTTTTCAAGTGCTTTAGAATTCTTTAAGTACTATCCATAGTTTAACTAGATCTGTTAGTTAACTTGCGTATGGTTGAATTATAACAATAATGCTTACCTGTTTATAATGTAGTGTTGGCTAAAAAAGAAAATTAGAGTTGTTTAAAGTTTCTTTTGATGTTTTGAAATTAAGCTTGTATTTTTTATATATTAAGTTAAAAAATCTCACTAACGTATTTAAAATATTGCATTTTTTACTCAATTTAACTTTTTTTTGTTCCGTTTTCTACATAATTAGATTGTTTTCTCCAATTAATTAAAAATTCCAATCAGAAAAATTATGAAAGATAAAATTGCGCTAATTATTCGGGCTCAAGCGACATGTTTTCAACATTTAATGCTAATGCTGCTTTCTTCAATTGATTAAAAATTTTAATTAAAAAATTCTAAGAGTTGAAATTGCTTTAATTATCAGGGCTTAAGTGTATGTTTTAAATTTGTAATGCAAATACATAGGTTGAAATTTTCAATGTTGCTTTAAATGTTTAGAAATCAAATACTATCAAAATTTACGATTATGTGAAATTTCCAGAAAAAAGTATTTTCTAACAATTATTCTACTCTTTGATGAAGAGTAAAAAATTATTTAGAAAACTAACTTTTTTTTCTTGACGTAGTAGAAAAACTACTTTGGAATGGTATTAAAGAAGAAAAAAAATTTCGACCAAACGTTTGGTATTTATCGCTAATTGAAGGAAATAAATACTTAAAAATAATTTATAAAATTTATTTGAATAAGTCTAACAGGGTTGCAAAAAATCCGGGGTTTTCCAGAGGGTTTTATTGGGCTTCTCTGGGTTTTTCATGTTTTCTTGATTTTTTTTTCAAAAGAGAGGGCAGGGATAAGTACCTTATTTTGAAAAAGCTTATTTTAATATTAATAATCAAGTTTAATTTTATGAATTGACTTAACATAGGGGAAACATGGGAGGTTTGACCCACTTTTTACAAAGGTATTTTTATTATTTTTTTGGTATGCAATAAAATTGCAAAGTTGATTTTATTTGTTAGCTTATAATGTTTGCCATCTTTTCCCATAATTTTTTTTCTCTTAAATTATTTTCATTTTTTTTAATTTTTGATTTTTCAAGAGTATCCAAACTGGATCAAACCTCCCCACTTGAGGGAGGTTTGACCATACCTAAGGGAGGTTTGACCCACATAAATAAAGGGTATTTAAAGTCGCGATGCAATAATTAAATGTCCTTAAAAAAGTTACTACAAGCTATAGACAATAATAACTAAAAGAATACAATAACTTTTTAATTAAAATAACAAATAATCAGGACCAAAATGTTCAATGAATTGAATTTCAATCAGTATAGATTCTGATACTTAGAAATATCACAGTCAAATTTTATTTTCAGTGCAACTCTTTCGGTGCCTCCACTGATATTTGGATGAGGGAGCTTAATAATATCTCCTTGGGACACTGTTGCAACATCTTCTATCTGGGGATAAATAAAACTAAAGCTGCATGGATCAGATCTTCTAAGAAAATTTAATGTGAGATCATCTCCATTTTCTTTTGTGACACAACCAATATAATGCACAAAACTGGATTTAGTTGTGAATTTTGCTAGAACAAAATCTCCAACTTCAATACTAGTTGTGGAGTCTTTGAAATCATCTCCATCTTCATTACTTGAGACGTGAAAATTTTGGGATTCATTTTCACTATCTGAAGACAGAGCAATCTTTCGTTTTTTCTCTTGTTTCTTGGCACTTTTCTTAATATTTCGTGTAGTTAACTTAATATTTTTACTATTGTGCCGCTCTTCAATTTCAGTTTTGACCGGGGTGTCTGTTAAAATTCTTGACTTGATACGTTTTCTTCCACCCCTGCCTTTTCTAGGTTCTGCTTTGGGAAACGGACGCAGCTGCTCCGGGGTTACTAGAATTTGAGTAGATTCTGATGAATCAGGTAAATTGGTAACACTCGCAGATGTTGAGGGATATGGAGATGCTGGTGGCAGATTGTTTATGCTAGTCGATGGTTTTGAAGATGCAGATGAATTCATAACATCTGGATCTGATCTATCTGTGACATTAGATGGAAGAAAATCAGATTCAGAAAAAATATCGGAGTTTAATGGCCATATTCCTGTACAAGCAAATCCACTTTGTATATTTTCTGGTGTAAAAGCTTTTGAAAATGATCTGCCAACCAAATGTGGAATGTCATATATTGTTATAGGTTTACCTGGATGCATGATCATAAAATCACTGGCAGCAGAATTGTAAAACATCTTAAAGGGACTGAAAACAGTTTTATCAAGAGGTTGTAATTTGTGACTCGTGTGTGGTGGCAGAGTTAACAGAGTTATCCCGTGATCTTTACACAGTTGCAAACCCTTAACAGATATATGTGATTCATGATTGTCAAGTATAATCAATACCTCCTTATCTTTGCTGCATTTACTAAATTTTATGAAATGATGAAGGTATAATTGAAAGTTCTCTGCTGTCATCCATCCACTCGGATGAGCTGCAGCTTGCATTCCTAGAGGCCCACCCCTTGTCATTATTTCTTTTACATGAACTCGTGGAAATACTAAAAATGGTGGAATCGATGTTCCAATTGCAGAGATACCACAGCACATTGTGACTAAAGTTCCACGTTCTGCAGAGGTGACTTGAGACACTTGCTTCTCTCCTTTCATTGCAATAATTTTTCGTGATTTGTGTACGGTTGTGATTCCAGTCTCATCAACATTGAAAATTGCTTCCGGGCCAAATTTCTTTTTTTCCAAGATGCAGTGCAAATTATTGAAAAACTCTCTGACGGTTGTTTTATTGAAAGCAGTGGCTCTGGACAAACTAGTTGATTCAGGCTGACGTAATGATAAATTTGCATGCCTGTGAAAAAAACCCTTCAACCAATCATAACTAGCAGTTTTGTTTAAAGTCCAATTTTCAGGAATTACTTTATTATTTGCAGCAGCATATTGGTAAGCTAAGTTTCGCGTTGCTTTTGAAGTTAAACCATAATTTAACTTTGAAGCATGCAGTAAATAAGCTTTAAGCACATGCTCTTCTTCATTGGAAAACACCTGGCAAGAAACATGGTTTGCCTTAAATTCTATTTTGCCATCTTCTGATTTTTTGTATTTATCTACATATCTGCCTAAAGTTTTTCGGTCGATTCCATACTCAGTAGCTACAGCTCTTATACTTTTACTCTTTTCAGTTACTAACAAAACAGCAGATTTCATTTTGGTTGGAGATACCTTGCATCTTTTATTATTTGACTTCCACAAAAAAGGCATCTGAAAAAGTTAACTCATATTTTAACAACCATAAAAAAAGTATTATAGTTAGAAATACAGTATCTCTAACTTTGTTAATTCTATTAATATACCATAGTAGACTCTCTCTTATTCTATAATTGCATAAATTAATCTCACTCACAATGTGTAATAAAATATTTATGTGTAGTGTGTAAAAGTAAAACATTTGATATAATTCAAGGATTTATTAAAAGTAATAATGGATTAGACAATATTAATTTTATAAACTAATTTTGAGGAAAATCATTATTTCCAACTTAATTTGTTAATTTTCATATCATAAAATATTAAATACTTAAGTTATATTGAAATCCAGTAAGTGATGAATTTGAAAAATGGGTTGAAATTTGTTTGCCAACAAAACAGAAAAGCAAATTTTAGTTGTGTTTAGTTTTAGAAGAAACACAGTGTTCCAAATGAATATTATTTTCATTGCTTTAAGTGACTTTGATGTCAAGTTAAAAAAATCTTTAATCTGAATTGAAAGCAACATTTATATTTAAAACTAATTAAATATTGTACATTTAAAAAATAAAACAATATCACATGAAACTAAATAGGGAGGTTTGACCTGGGACAAACCTCCCAGAATTGATGTGGGTCAAACCTCCCTTAACAACCATTTTGGAAAAAGAGTTAAAAAACACATTACAATCAGAAGTTAAAGTAAAAAGTAACTACACTGTCTTTTAGCATGTTAATTTAAGTATACAAACAATTCAACTTACTTCTATATATGTTACTGACAAATGGCACAGGAGAGATGAACCTGCAGCAACAGAAAAAACTTTTTGGGCTGAAAAAACTATCACTTGTGATTACTCCTAGATTCTAGTTGCAAATGGCTACCAGACAGAAATAACAGGTTATTCTACTTGATGTTGTGCTGCCATCTAGTGCTCATCAGTCAAATACATGTTTAAATATGAAAAAGGTAGGGTGGGTCAAACCTCCCCTATGGTCAAACCTCCCTTGTTTCCCCTATAAGTAATTAAAGTTTAATTAATAATTAATACAAATGATTTGGTGCAAAAGTCTGGAAAAAGTTTCTGACATCACGATACAAAATGTTATATGTACTCACATACTCTCACATTTGAAACTTATTTTAAAACAGGATTACTTTTTATTTATATTTTAATCTTAAATATTTGAGGAAATAATTTTTTCTTTCTTTTTTGCATAGAAAGCGAATCAAGGGCGCCGTCTAATCGAATCGCCAAACAGTCGAATCTAGCCAGCAAGGTGATTCTCCAATCTCCAAACACAGTTTTTTCACCAGAGGTCATTTTTTTAGGCTAGACTACATATATATTTCAATAGAATAGCTCTTTAATATAACAGAGGATAAAAAAGAAATCAATTTTAGAAAAACCCACTTTAGGGAGGGTTTTACTGGGTAGGTGGGTGTTTTGCAACCCTGACTTGTAAAGATGCATAAATGAGCATTTATTATTGATTGAATTCAATCATAATTTAGTCTCAAACAAGTACTTGGGGGAAAAATGAAACACATTTGTTTAGTAACGCATTGTGCACGTTAAATAATGCGTTTTATTTCAATTTCAGGATTACCTCCTTGCTGCATGTTCAGATAGCAGCTCTCGTTGTGAACGACGGTGCCAATATGCTCCTGAGATTTTTCATCAGCTAGTCCCCATGAGGGATGAAGTGGAGAGAGAATCCAGTGCCATGGTTCGTTTCGAAGCCACCGATTGCCAGGTTGTAATGTGTGGTCAAGAGAGAAATGTTCTTGCTGCCCTCAGGTTTCTGGACTCCAAAGCACAAGACATCGCTTTGTCGAAGGGAAAAGCCACTGAAAATGTGGGAGAGCTTACCCTCATGAGCCAAGCTGGAACACAGTCACGAGAGGTATACTCCATTCCGCATTATTCTATCTTCTTGGCTCAACTGCGTTGTGAGTCGTTTCACTAGTTACTACTATTTATCGGTTAAATGGGAATTTCGGTCTATCTCTGCCAACAATAAAAGACTGATTCTGTATTTGAGATCCTTCCTCGATCGTTGAGGCTTTTAATCCTTCTTATTTAATTTTCCCAAATTAACCGATGATGGATATTTATTCTATTCTTCCGTATCTTTACATATAAAATACAAGGCTGCATGCAAATCTTACATGTAAAATACAAGGCTGCCACCCAGTTACAATTTAAGATATAAAGCTTGCGGTGTTTTAGATTTTCTATAAAAAAATTTTTTTGGACAAAATTATGCCAATAATCAACAGTTTTTGATAGGTAGTTAAATAGTATACAGTTGCCTGTTTTGAGATTTTATCTTTGTTTTTATGCAATCGACGTTGAAAGAATTTTTTAGAGTCATCCAAATCAGTTTTCATCATTTTAAACTGCAATAAAATTAGATTAAAAAAAAATAATCTAAAAACTGAGAAACGTGAGAATTGTTTTCAACATTTTAGAGTAGCTGAAAACCTGCTGTGATTTCTTTTTCAATTTATCACCCTGATTCCTGATGATTACTAAAGCACCACTAAATATCTGGCAAAATAACTGGGTAGCAAAGTAACTTAAATATCATATTTGACTTTCCGAATATTTATTTTATTCTATGCGAATCGATGTATATAATATGATAGCTTTGAATTTGTTTCTTCTTGCTGGCAACAACAATGTGCCAAATTTTAATAACCCATAGTAAGTTAAACATCAATAACTTGATGAGTGAAATTTAAGGATCGGATCAAAAGGTCGCTCGTTAGTTGTAAGTGGCAAACATCACCATGATATTATTTGTAGTTGTGAAAAGCTTTCTTGATCTGAATTCGATTCTTTTTCAAAGAAAAGGGGTAGAGTTTCTTTATTTTTACTTGAAAAATTCAGTTTTTATCATCATAAATACTGATTTTATCTTAACATTCTAACTATTGTATACATTCCGTTTGTCAATATTTTAGCACTTACAAGTCAGCTGTCTGAGTACTGCCCAATTGCCCGGCAATTTTGGTCTATGTATGAGCTTATTGCTTAAACAAAACTAAAATGTTTTAGTGAAGCTGTTTTGGGGATTGGCGAGAGATATCGAACAGGGAGCGGTAGACCCCTAGTTTATTAATAAATTCATTTGAAGGTACTTAGTGAACTTGTCTTTTATTATTTATCTTTTTGATGGTGTATTGATGCATTTACTTTTTCTTTTTCTAGATATTTCGGCAGGGCCGAAATCTCGAATCCGAAGATTCAAGCTATGATTCCGATTACGAAATTGCCGATCCTGCTGGTACACCGCAGGGTGAATTGCCAGGAAGAGGAGGTGATCCATACGATTCACATCATGACGATGTCAGTCGAACTGTGTCCGATACTTTAGCCGCCGAGTTTGCCGAATATGTAACCAGAGATCCAAATGCTGGCGAAATCATCACTCAAGATCTCGATACTATTCTCGCCGACCCTAATTACACTGCTAGAGTGGAGTTTGCTCTTAAACTTGGCTACACAGAAAGTTTGGTTCAAATTGCTCTTCAGAAATTAGGACCACATCCTAGCCAAAATGAACTGTTAGCTGAATTAATAAAATTAGGAGCATCATCTTCTGCGCTCTTTCAGCCACCTTCTCCGATCAGGAGGCCGACTGAAAGGACTGGTGTTGAAGAACTGGTGGCTGATATCGAGCGAACCCATAATGATACATTTCTAGATGATCCTTCGAATTTGAGACACATCGTCATCGATGGAAGCAACGTTGCTATGAGGTGAGTGATAATGATTATTTAAAGACGCATTTATCTTTTTGTGTGCCGTTTTATGAATTGAATGACTGATTTAACAAAAATTGTAATTTAAATCTTTGGCAGAGGTATATTAAGAAGGAAAAAAAGAAACGTTTTTCGATAAATTTTAGACCATGTATTGCCTAATCCATGGTCTTAAATTAAATCACTTCTCAGTTCTATCGCAAATAAGTGTGAATTTTTTTTATTTATTTACTTATTTACTTTTTTATTTCCAATGCCCATTGCGTTTGGCAACTATATGCCATTGTGGTACTTAACGGATTGCATTGTGGATCTCTTTTTTTTTCGTGGGCACCATATACGTGGCTCAACGCCCTCCCAGCATCTTAAGGAAGGCAGAACAGAGATAAAGAAAGAGAAATTACATGATTACTCGAAGCAAGATTCGAACATGGTACCTTTCTGATATGACATCAGCTCCCTGACCACCATACTGTACGGTCAAGCGGAAAATTTCATTATAAGATCCTTTGCTTTAGTCTTTTTTTTTTTGAAAATTGAGTTTTGAGATTCGTTCCCAGCCAATCGAGAGGAAGGCTCTCTCTCTCTCTCTTTAATGTTTTATTCTGATTATCTTTAAGCACGATATATATTCTTAACGTGTTGTGCTATGAGACAAATTAAATAAAAATAATAATTAATTTTTAACAACCTATTTACTTTTTAATGTGTTCCACTTGCCGGAATTTTATTTAAAAAAAAATTAGAATTAAAAGTATTAAAATATGTTTATAAAAAATTATAATTATTTTTTTCACGAGACAGTTGTTTTTCAAGATATGGAATTTTTGTAGCAATGGATAAGCCATAAAAGTTTTTATTTTTATTTATTTAAATATTATTAAATGCTTAAAAAGTGAAAAATATAATATTCTAATAAGTTAAAATTGTTTATAAGTAGTGACTTGTAGTAACCTGTACTTTCACAAAGTATTAATGTTAACTTGTGATCTCGATTGATTTCGATAAGTGATAAAAGTAAGATTTTGGACACGTATATTCTAATGGTATCTGTAGGATCTATCGTAAACCTGTATCCATTATATTAATAGTGCTTTTTTTTCGTCTCTTTTTGAGAGACGGGGTATCGCAACAGGTGAAGAGAGGGGAGATGATGATCCCGCGTCCAATTAGGTCATCGCACGTCCCCCTGACACAGTGACATTCCCACTACACGCACATCCGGTTCCACTTCCTTGCTCTTTCTATATACATCTCACGACCAATATTTCGCATCTATATTCAAAAATGATCTAAATCGTTGTTTAACGTCATTATTAATTATCTCGCTGCTATTCCCCTTCTGCATGTTTAATATAGTTATAATCCTTTCGCGCAGAATTTTTATTAAACATATTTTTCATTCTGTTGTATTTATTTAGGACAAAATAAATGAAAAATATTATATTAAGCATTTTAATAATTTATAATTATGAAACAACATGAGATACCGGTGTCTTTTTCTGGGTTAAATGTAAAATCTTCCGTACACAGCTCACTTCCAAATAATAATTTTTCAAATTTGCACTTAATTGCTGTTATGTAGAGAAATAGTCATTTATCATTGAAATTTCTAAAAATTTACTAAATTGTTGATAAATTTTTAAACATGAATGGGAAAAAAATTTCAAACTACTTTTTTTTGGTTTTTATATTTAGTGCAAATATAAATCTTGTGCCCGGGTAATGGGTCCCCCCCCCTCTTTGAACTCTATCTAATAATTAAATTAATTTATCTGTTTGGGATATTTGGGCCATTGTTTGCCTCATCTAGAACAACGGTTCCCGATTTTTTAGTTATGGAACCCTGAATGGTCGAGCTTTTTTTGGCGGAACTCCGGCATGATAAAAAAAAGTTCATTAGGAGCTTTACATATACTTAAAAAAAAAAGAAAAAAAAAGACTGCTACTTATTTTGGAAATATTTAATATTAAGAACGAAATATTAAATATTATGAATTTGCTCTTGGTATATGTATTTGCTGAAAAGAAATAAAATAAGTTGAATTATGATTTTCAAAAAAATAAATAAATGTTATAAACGTTGAGAATTAAATGTAATTCTTTATTCTTGGATTGAGTTATTTTATTTTAAAAATTGAATTGAAAAGCTCGATGAAAATATTTATGGAATTTTTCATTGGACCTGTTCAATATAATGTTATTGAATATTTTTTTTTTAAACATTTTGCTGCTTTCTTATTGTCATTTTGCTTAAATAATTCATCTAAACATCAAAATGATAGATAAATTATAGGTTATTAACTGGATATAAATATAGTTATTACTAGTATAACAGAAAATCCTTCTCCGGAACCCAAGGGTTCCAGAGAATACCTTTTGGAAATCGCTGCTCTAGAAAATCAGCTATACTCGCAAATTGCTGAGTGGAGTATTGAGTATTGAGTGAGTATAGTTAAGTGCTGGAGCTCTCTGCTTATCGCTTATAGCTCTGCGTTTTTGCTGAGTGGATTTAGTTCACAATAAAAGTTCAAAAAATTTGATTCCCAAATTCAGATTTTTTATTTATTTCAGCGTGGAAGATGAACTGGGAAAAATATTAATCACATGACTTTGTTTAATCTATCTGATATGTAAACAGATAGATTAGCGCCCTCTGGTCTCGGTGGTTGGAATCTATTTTCTTTGATAAAAGAAAAACCGAATTCTTTATCTTGTCGAAGCTTACGCAGGTAGAGTGGATTGCTTACCTGAGATGATGCACCCGGACGAAGCGTTTCAGAGTGGGGGAGGCCAGAGAGAAAAATCCTTGCTGTAGGTTGTGTGAAGCGAGTGACGTTGGGGAGGGGAAGGGAGAAGATTACAGGGAGTGGGTGGGAGAGAGGAGACGGATGCAGAAACGGATGTGCTCGACAGGTAAACGAGCCGCGCGTTCTCCCTTTTCTTCTTTTTCTTTTTTTTCGTGATGAGAAGGAAACCAAAAGTGATTTTTCTTTCTTTATTTCATTCTTTTCTATTCCGCGATGCCATAGTTGTTCCTGACGGAATTTGAAGAGTAATCGGTATTGAGCACGCAGTAATCGAAGGTTAAAATGTATCGAATAAATGTTGCGGATTTTTTTTTCTTTCTCCCCCCCTTGTTATTTGTTTGTGCAATTTAAACTTTGTTTTGGCAGCGTATTAGTGTTGACATGTGTTTGAAGGGACCGTGGAATGCGGAATTACATGCCTGAAAGTGATTTCTTTGCTTTACGTTTCTGTAGTTTTAATGAAAACGATTTACTGAGTATAAATTTCGTCTTAAAGAAGAAGGATTTGACAGCATGAGGAGAAATGCGCCTAGTTTTGAAATTTTTATTTGTTTTCCGATTTTGACGCATTCTCTATTACATGCAATAGGGGTCTGCAACCTGTTTGTACCTAAAATCACATATTTGATTGCCTGTGGACTAGATTTTGTGAAATTAAAAACTGAAATATCTTTTAATTGTTTGCTGTACCAACAGTACAAGATAATTTTCTTAGTTTTAGATTTATGATGTTGGATTGTTAAATTTTTGCTTATTTTAAATTATGGATATTTTTGAAATTTACTTGAAAATCTATTTATTTATTTATTTTCATTATTTTCGTATTTTTAACATGTTTCAAATTTGACTTTTTAATTTTTTTTTAAAATTTATTTTTTATGTTTTTTAATTGGCGTAGAACTACGTTTGTGGCTCCCCCCTAACGTATAGTATCTTTGTTGATTTTATTTGTTTAAAATTAGGGGCATCAATTTTTTTTAAATAGAAGTCCTCGAGCTGGGATGACTCAGGTTCGAATCCCAGCTGGTTGATAGGAATTCTACTCTCGGCTCGCACCGTCCACAGTGCTGACGTAAAATGTCCTCAGGGGTGGATGGATCATGGGTTAGAATCTTCTTGCCGTTGGACTAATCGTGGAAGGTTTTATTGGTGTCAAATGATCTTAAAACCGGGGGCAACATTATGATCAAACTAAAAAAATGTCAATTTTCTTTAATTTAAGTAGAACATAAATAAATGTACATGTAGTGAGAAATAATTTTTTTAAGGAAACATTTTTTTCGTGCTCTTGAGAAAGAGAATGTGTCTAGTAACCGGTGATATTTTTTTTAAAAATAAATATCTGTGCAGATGTAGCTTTCTATATCGCAGTCTCTAATCTCTTAGTTAAATCGATTTTTAAAAAAGATTTTATAAATGTTCACGGAAATGAAAAAAGTGAATTTTTTAGATTTCGAATTAAATTTTAATTTTTGCTTTAAAATGTTTCGGTGACTCGCCTTCAAATCCAGAGGTTCAACATCCCTGGTTAAAACGGATTAATTTGTGTCCCTTTCTCGAGGATAATATTTTTTACTTAATTAAATATTAACGAACTCATTATAATGAGCATTGAAATTAAATAAAAACAGAATATATTGATATTTTTCTTAAAAATTTTCAATAAAAAATAATAAGCTAAGACATAAAGAATAGTATTTTAGAGATTTGTGGCACACTAAAAGCAGATGATAATATGCGTAATTTATTACAATTAATGAAAAAAAATTGTCCTTTTCCTTTTCGTCGATGCATTCTGATTTATAAGGAAAAGTTCGATTACAATTAGAGATTGGTAATTTTTAAATGTATTTAGAAAGCGTCGGTTTAAAAAAAAATGTCAAACAAATTTTTTTAATTAATAATAATTTATATCCTATCATTTATATTTAGTTTGCCATTTATTTAAGTGATTTTAAAGAGATTGACTTTTAATTTTAATGATAATAATCTTGTACTACAGATCGTATGTACAAATATTTATTGATACTTTTTTGGAAATTACACATAACTGATTAAGGCAAGAATCTTACACCATCGCATTTCAAGTGTTCATACATTTACACATATTTCTTTTCTTCTCTTTTTTTTTTTTGTAATTCAAGAAAATCTAGATATATTTATGTACATGGGTATAATTTATATTAA